TGGGGGTGCTACGCACCCCCGGTCCCCCCGCTAGTTGCGGCACTGATTTTACATATTTTTTTTTTTTTACTGTACGTAATACTAATATAAAATCTTTTTTTATTATTATTATTTATCCAGAGGATAAGTAATACTAACGTGGTTTCTTCTCTGGCTCTCGATACAAAAGCAAAAAAAAAAAAAAAATTATTATTATTTATTATTATACAATAATTCAGAAAAACCTAAATCAGACGAGTATTTTATCATGGATAATAATGTTATATGTGAAATAATAAGATAAATAAAATGTTATTGCGTTTTCGGTCACGAACTATACTGCTATTCACGATAATATTTTTATTTCCAAATAAACCAATAGGCGATAGACAGATAAAGCGACCGTAGATTTTTGACGCGACGTTTAATAGTTTAGTGCACTCAGTACAGTACAGTTATAGCCGTTATAGGTACATATTTAGTACAAATTTTACTCCTTTCTTTTAAAAATATTATTATTTTGATTTTATTCCGTTTAATTCTATTTAAATTATTTTTTTAAATATAAATTGGAAGATGGCACAAATTTGTAAAACTGTTTCATCAAATAGAGGTAATATAAAACTTGTTATCGATGGTTATATAATGACAAAAGACAAAAATAGAGATGATTTATATTATTGGTGCTGTGAAAAAAGGAAAACTCTCCATTGTAGTGGTTATGCTTGTACCATTCTAATTAATGGTCAGCACAACTTACGAAATAAAAAAGAGCATAACCATAGCCCCGATGCTACTAGAAAAGATATCATCACGGCTGTTCATAATTTAAAACGAAAGGCTCGTGAGACTAATGACACGCCTGCACAATTAATACAAATTGAAACCAATGCTGTTTCTAGCCTAAGTCAACCATCGTTGCCGAATAATCATGCTTTACGTCAAATTATAAAAAGAGCACGTAGAAAAGATATACTTATTCAACCAACTTCCATTGACAATATAAATGTACCATTACCCCTTAGAACTATTAATGGACAAATTTTCCTAGCAAAAGACACATCCTTTGACAATGAAAGAATACTTTTATTTACAACTAAATTTAACGTTGAACATTTGAAAAAAAGTTCATATTGGATCATGGACGGTACTTTTAAAACTGTTCCGACACTTTTTCGACAATTATATACAATACATGCTATAGTAGGAACAGGAGAAAATGCAAAAATATTACCTCTTGTGTATGCTTTAATGACGAGTAAAACAGAAGAATGCTATACTCGCCTTTTTGAAAATTTAAATAATTTTGCAGCCGAAAATGAATTGGAATTAAATCCTCAATATATTTTAACTGATTTTGAGCAAGCGGCTATAAATGCTTCAAAATGTGAATATCCAGATACAAATTGTATAGGTTGTCTTTTACATCTAGGTCAAAGTGTATGGCGTCAAATTCAAGCAAATTCTCTTAGTAAAAGATATGGAGAAGACGAAGAATTTAGTTTGAAACTACGTCAGCTTATTGCTCTTGCTTTTCTTCCACTTACTGAAATACCAGGTGCATTCGATGAATTGAAATTTACTTTTCCCGAAGAAGATTCTGAGGTAATGCAATGGTTTGAAAACAATTATGTGCATGGTAGAATTAGAAGGATAATGAGAGGAGGTAATGTAAGTCGCACAGCTCCTTTATTTCCACCAAAATTTTGGTCCGCATTTGAGCGAATGGTATTAGGAATTCCTAGAACTCAAAATCGCGTAGAGGGTTGGCACAGACGTTTTGAAACTCTTGTTGGAAAATGTCATGTTGGTGTTTACACAAAAGAAATTAAAAAAGAACAAATTCAAATGGAACAGAGAGCCGAAGATATAATTCGTGGAAGGGCACATACTCCAACTCGTAGAGAATATGCTGAACGAGAAAAACGTATTAGTGCAATTATAAATGACAGGGAAAATCGATCAAATTTATCATTTCTAAGGGGAATCGCTCATAACATTAAATTGTAAGTAGTAAAATGTTTTTATTATTATTAATTCTTGACACAAATTTATTTATAAATTATAATATAATAATTAAATAAATTTATTTATAATTGATATTGTCGGGCAAATGGTGTCGGGCAATTAAGATGTCGGGCAATTGAATGTCGGGAAAATGTACTGATCCCTATCCAAAATAACTATAGGAAGAAAATTGTTAGTGCGCAATCAGAAGGTCCTGACAATCATTATGGCAGTGGTTCTCAACCTTTTTGGATTCGTGTCACCCTCATCCACGATAACCCAACACTACGTCTCCCTAACATCAAAATATTAGTTATATAAAAAACAAGCACTATAAAAAATATAGTACACAGAAAAATAATAACTGAAAATTTTATTTTTGCTTTACTGTTAAATTAACATTGAAATTTAAAATTTAAAAAAAAAATTAAGATTTTTTAAAATATATATTATATAATAATTGAATAAACTATAAAATCTAAAAATTAATGAGAAATTTGACCCTGGTTATTTTTACATAGTTGTGGAATTCAAGGGTTGATGGTTGATAGAGCGAGTCTCATATCGTCTTCTAGTGTTGTTTTTGTAAGTCTTTGGCGTTTTTTTGTTTTAATATTTGTGAGCGCACTGAATCCATGTTCGCATAGCCAGGACGTCGAAAATTGAAGTAGCACTTCAATAGCTTTCGTTGATAGTCGAGGGTATTCACTGTGGAGACTCACCCAAAAGCTGTTGAGCGACATTTCTTTAAATTTTAGTTGCAGCGTACGGTCGTTTTTTAGTTCCACAGCTTCCTGTTGTAATTCACAGTCATCTGTTTGCACTAAGGATGTAAATGGGTTGCGAACCCAGTCATACTGTTTCACATTCAAGTCTGGAAAATAATATTTCAATGACATTTGCAAGGCCTGCAAGTGACTTCTTATGGCTCCCAGAACTTCAGGATTAGAGTTTTCTTGACTTGTAAAAAGTGGAAACATAGCTGTCTTTCCTTGATCCAAGTTTGTACACCAAATGGAGATTTTTTCTTGAAAAGCTGAAAGTTTGTCGGTGGAAGTTGAAACATTTTCTAATGGCCCTTGCAAACTAGAATTAACTAGGTTAAGATTCTGAAAAATGTCAGTCAAGTACGCAAATTTTGATATCCAATCGTGATCTTCCAAAAAACTTGTAAATTCTTCATTGCCTTCTTCCATGAAAAACAGTAAAAGTTCCTCTTTAAGTTCATAGAGACGTGCTAAGACCTTTCCTCTTGATAACCACCTCACTTCGGTATGGTACAACAAATTTGTAAAACCAGCATCCATTGAATTACAAATTTCGGCAAAAATCTTACTTTTCAAGGGCTTTCTTTTAATGTAGTTGACAATACGAACAGCATTAATCAAAATAGAATTGAGATCACTACCCAACGTTTTTGTCATCAGCGCTTCTCTGTGGATGAAACAATGAGTTTTAACGATTAATGGGTTTTTCATTTTAGCGAGTGTAACAAACCCTTTGATATTCCCGGTCATATTTGGAGCTCCATCAGTGCAAATTCCAACACAGTCACTCCACAATATTCCATTATTTTCAATAAAAACATTGATTGTTTTAAAAATGTCTTTGCCTCTTTTGTTTTTAACTCTTTCAAACACAAAAACTGGTTTATAATATCATAACCAACAACAAAACGAACAAATCCTATCATGTAACATTTTCCGTCGCTAACAGTTGAATCGTCAACTTGAAGTGTGAACCGAGAAAGTTTCATCTTTTCTACGGTGTGTTGTTTTATATCTACAGACATATCATTTATGCGACGAGTAATAGTGTCATTAGACATCGGTATCTTATCTATTTCAAGAGCCGCTTCATCTCCAATCATTATTCGCACCATTTCCTTACCCGCAGGTTTGATTAAATTTTCTCCAATAGTATGCGCTTTCATGTTGTTAGCAATCATTTGGGAAACAACAAAACTAGCTTCGAGAGCCCTCTCAGAAATTTTAACTTTTTTTGTGAACTTGATTGCTTCTTTTTTTTGGCAACTTAAAGGTCTTTTGAAATAGTGAATATCTTTGCACTTCAAGTGAAAATGTTGTTTAATAAAATGTCTGTTTAATTTGTTGGGCACCATCGATTCGTTGGTAAATGTTTTTCCACATATGATACACTCGGGAATAGGTTCATCTTCTGGACCACACCATGTGAAACCAATGGATATATAAGATTCATCGTATAACCGACACTTACCTTTACTCTGTTTTGACGGCCGAGCAGTTGATGGTGAATTCCCACTCATTTTTAAAGTCCCGGAAGTTGATGGTGAGTCTTTACTCTGTTTTGACGTTCCAGAAGTTGATGGTGAGCTTTCAATCAATTTCGAGGTCCGAGTAATAAATCTATCCATACTTATAGCAAAATAATAATAATAATATTAAATAATATTTAATAATAATATTTTCGATTTTCCACAAATAAATTATTATTACCTGCACTCGCTAACGAAAAATACAACACTGTCAAGGTTAAGTATAATAAAATATATACTAAAAATACTTAAAAAAGTTTATAGTATTTAATAGGTACAATTTAAAATGAAGAATTACAATTTTAACTAAAATAATAAACACTTTATACTAGCTTGAAATAATAATTCACAGTAATCAGTAAAGTATATAATAGTATGAAAAACTGACCCATTTCAGATAACGTAGCGTTGTCGCACGTCGAACGAACGTATTTATCGGATTAGATCTAGATATTAGTGTTAACTATAAATAGAAATAAATAATACAAAGATAAGAATTTTTTTCGGTATCTGTGCCGTTTAGTGTAAACAATTATTGCGTTATTTGACTGCGGTAGCAATCACATGATTACCGTTACAATAATACGATTTTTTTTCGAAAAAAAATTCTATATTTTTAAACTTTTCCCCAAGGTTTTCTTGTCACCCCTACATTGAATCCATGTCACCCCGGTTGAGAACCACTGCATTATGGGTTAGCTGAACTTCTTATAGATACATTAGATGAAGATGATTTAGAAAAAAGAAAAATGAATTTATTCAATACCTGCGTAAAGTTGACTGAAAACAAATATAGGTTAATATGTAAAAACTTGAATCCTAACTGGTTTCAAGAACGTAAATTAGGTTGACAGCTTCGCGGTTTGGCGAAATTTGCAAAATACGACAAAATACCAGGTGTAAAACTATAGTTCTCAGTAAACCCCCAATAACATCAAAACAAATGACCTATGGACATAATATGGAACATAAAGCTAAGAAGAAACTGGAGGAAATCATTAATCTTGATGTTCAATGAAGTGGTCTTGTTGTAGATCTTAGTTTTCCATACTTAGCAGCGAGTCCAGGTTAATATTTAATTTTTTTATTAACTATGTCGTAAATCCATTTAGTTTTTATTTTATTTAGTACCTATATAAATTAGAAAATGTATATTATAATATTTTTATTTATTGTAGATGGTTTAGTTGGGGATCAAGCTATTATAGAGATAATATGTCCATACGTAGCAAAGGATAGTGAAAACAGTATTGATGCCGTAAATAATAAACTTGTAAGTTGTAAGCTAGGTTTTTTAATTATATAGTACTTATAAATAAATAGATTTATTGTAATATATTTTTATTTTATTTTTTTTATTTTTATGTATTTATGTTTTTGATAACAAGCTTGGTGTACATTATCTTAAATTAACTATTTATTTTTTTTTGTGCGCTTTTCTAATTCTCATTGTTACGCGCTTCTGTTCATTCCAAATATTAACTATTGATAGTGCGTTGTGAGTGTTTTCGTCCTTTTTCGTCTTAGATCTACTTTTTTTCTGGTCGCTTTTTGCTGTGGATGTTGATCGTGAGTACTCATTTTTTCTGTTTCCGTTATCACTGCGGTGATTTCACATTATCAGTATACTCATTACCAGGACTTGGATCAGCTGTTTATTTTATTTCTTGAAGACTTTAACGCTGGGTACTAAAGTACTTTAGCTCCCGCATATTTGGCCTTATATTCAACACACTGTGCATTACTGTTCATCTGGTGGTATCCTATTGTGCCATGTCTACTACCTTGAAACCTACCACTCGATCTGCCACTAAATTACCGGCTGTTGCTTCACCTAAAGTTACACATTTATCTGCTTGCACCTCTTCAACAAACGATGACATCATGACCGCATTGTCATCTCTCCGTAATGAATTTTCTGAGTCTTTTAAAAATCAATCAATTAAGCAAGATAACCTATTTAAAGTGCTCAAGGCTGACATTGTAAAACTGTCCTCTCTTATCGCTGCACTCAAGGCTGAAAATAACATTCATAAATCAGACGTTGAATTTCTTAAAGATAAAGTTGGTAAGCTTGAATCCCTGGATTCTCCTGCCTCTTCTCCTTCTGTTGTTGCCCAAGTTTTCCAGGAAACTTTTGAACGGGAAAGATGCTCAACCAACCTATTGGTATACAGTATTCCTGAGTCGTCAGCCGAATCTACCTCTCAGCGTATCTCCGACGACAAATCTGCACTTGAGAAAATTGTAGTGCCTCTTATAGGAATTCTTCCTGCTCACTACAAATTGATTCGCTTGGGTAAAGCTCAACCTAACAACACACGCCCCCTGAAAATAATTCTCGAGTCTAAAGAATGTGCCTCTAATATATTATTCAATTATCATGATGCTTAGAAAAGTGGTACTAATCTCCCGCCTAACCTTCGCATTGCTAAAGATAAGACTCTCCTATAACGGACCCTACTGCGTAACTGCCACTCTGAACTTGATCGTAGAACTCAAGCCGGTGAAGTCGGACTACATATAGCTCATATATACGGTCTCCCAAAGGTTATGTCTCACCGCCCTAAGGATGGAAATTTCAATCAAAGGCCAACTATCAACAATCCCTAAATCATTCGCCAATTGCCAACTCAATTTCTGGTTTTTACCAAAACTGCCGTGGTCTCCGGTCAAAAATTATAAATTTTAAATGCAATGTAGCCTGTATAAATTATGATTTTTTTTGTTCTAACTGAAACTTGGTTAACCGATTCTTTTACTGATTGTAAACTTGGTCTTTCCAATTATAATATCTACAGATATGATAGATGTTCTATTACTAGTAATTATTTAAGGGGTGGCGGAGTACTCATTGGTATAAGAAAAGATATATCTTCCGAATTAGTTATTGTTCGTGAAATCAATGTTGAACATTTATTTGTGATGCTCACTGTTGGGTCTTCCAAGTTTATAATTAATGCTGCCTATTTTTCTCCTCTTTGTCCGTCTCATTTATTTGAAAATTTTATGTCCGTCTTAGAAACAGTTTATCAACATCATCCTGAACACATATTCTTGCTCTGTGGTGATTATAATTTGCCTGAGATTTCTTGGTCTAATGATTCACATGGCCTTACTTATACCTTCTCATCCCCTCTTCGTGTGCCATGTGTTCCTGAACTACTTGCTTTCAATGGATTCTACCGAAAAAAATTCTATTTTTAACTCTAAGGGTTCTATACTTTATCTAATTTGTTGTAACATAGACTCCGTTGTTGTTACCTAATCTCTTGAACCGTTTGTACCACCTGACCCATATCATCCTCCTCTAAAAATATCATTTCCGTATATCACCACTCCTACCATATATAACTCATCACATTCCTTTCTGAATTTTAAAAACGCCGATTACGATTCTATAATTTCTTTTTTGTCTTTCTTCGATTGGTACTCTACTCTATCCAACCCTGACTTAAATACTGCGGTTTGTACCTTTACTGATGCTCTTCATAATTTAATCTTGAGATTTGTCCCTATATCACGCTTCTATAAATCCAGTTTTCCCTCTTGGGTATCCAAAGACCACAAATCGTTAATTTATCGTAAGAATAAAGCTCATGCAAAGTTTAAATCTATCTTCGACCCTGCTGATTACACTGATTTTTCCCTGCTTCGTGCTAAATGTAAATATACTTCCAAAAAATGTCATAAAGAATTTGTTGAACAGTCTGAAAAATCTCTATCGTCAAATCCCAAAAAATTTTGGGATTTAGTGCGCAAGAATCGTTTCCACAATGCTGTTCCGGACACAGTTTCTTTAGATGGTGTCAATAGTTCTTGTAAGCTGGAAAGTGTCAATCTGTTTGCTAAACATTTTTGTTCGGTTTACTCTTCAAAGCCTGTTATGTTACGTACCGTGTTATTTTACACATATATATTATACGGAGAGGTGATGTGTATACCGATGGAATAACATATTCAAACAGTGTAGT